TCATATCGCACCAATAAATGCAGATTTACAACTATACATAAACAAGCAAAAAGTGACTGCGGGTAGGGGAAGACTGTCAACAAAAATATGAATAGTGATACAATGATAACTTATGGATTAATAGAAAACTTGCAAGAAAAGGAATACATACATATATCTGACAGGCTAGTTACCTAATAAATATGTAACCCCTATATACAAATAAGATCTTAGGAAAATAGTTCCTAAAGTATGCTACCTTCTATTCAAATCATCTCTCACAACAGTGGCTAAACTGTCAAACCACGATAGTATGTTCGTGGAAAGTACTGGAGAAACTGAATCCCTCACAAAACTCCTCAACAGATAATCAGCGATCTTAAAACTACTAAAAACCAAAGCATATATATACATATATATAGTTTTCAAACTAATTCCATACAGACTAATGATAAGGACAGTTAACTTTACTTTAGGGACGAGCTAATCCCAATCACCTTTGCGACACATTTTGCAGGAAATTCAAATACTACGCGCAATTAGGACCAGAAATAACTCTGTAGATTCACTGCTCAAAGTGCCTTAAATTGTGTTTTACGAACCAATCACAAAGTGCCTTTAATACAAGAATATAAGTGAAATATTCATGTGACTACCCAGCACTCTCACATCGTAACAGGTGTCAGTTCATGATGACAATCTTAACTTTCACCAAGAACAACAATCGGACCCTCCAAAATCTGTTTCGCATTTCAAAGATTGCTGTTTTTCAACTTACAGGCTAATTAACTTGTAGAAGACATTCCTGGATTAATTGTGTAAAATCTCTATACACTATACAATTTTATTGTTTTTATTCCGTAAACTATCCACTCATAAGAGCTCTTTCCTGACTAGCTAAGAACCAGCGCAGAATTCATTGTAGTCATTTCAGTTCGAACCCTACACTTCTTTTTTGCCATAGAAATGACAGGTTAATTGTACTAGGATATATATAATAATAGTTTATCAACTCATTTATCAGCTATTTGAATATGAGCCACATACAAAGTGTATGGAAATAATCAATCCTACTGCCTGACTGCTCAAACCGAGGTGGAGGAGTGTTGAAACGTGATGAAACTCGGTAGTTAAAGCACTGGGGAATTTTTTTAAACGACTACCAATCACAGCATCAGTCGCTTCATTTCAGATTTTCACAGCAAGAAAAACAAGATGGAAATAAAACAGAGGTTAATTATGTAATAAGAAACTAGACATAAGACATTTACATATTTCTTAGATACCGAATGAAATCAAAGAAGGAACATTAACTTTGCAATCAGGATTTAGAAGATTGAAAATGAATAGGATGCCCTCTAGGTTAAGCCAACTTCCCCAATCTAGAAGGAATGTCACCCCTAAGCTCTTAACTAAAAATTCTATATTAAACATGATTCAGTCAGATAGCAAATTACTAGTGTAAAGCATTTGTTTGACAATTTATAGTTACTGTCTTAGTAATTTGAGTTAACGTTGGACGAGTAATCTGACAAGATAAGATATTTCATCGACCTACACACAGTAGTATTATGGCACATCTCGAAGTGCAAGTGATGCAATAGCAGTAATAGGGAATGAGAAACGTTGAAAAAAGAAAAGAAACCAAATTATATGCGGATTGAGGAACTAAAGAAGATAAAAAGCGGTTATATCTGGTTCTGTGCGAAGCATTATGAAGCATGTCAACGAAAGTTTCTTATCATTGGTTACAATAGTCATGTGCACTCCAACCAGGTAACCTGAACCTACCTACATGGCTTAGTCCAACAATATTCAGTGACTTCACAGACTGATGTCAGGTGTTGGTTTGGTTACCCAAAGTTTTCTTCCAGGCTACACAGAGCCACAAACTGAGTGTGGTTAAGAATGACCGTGTCAAATATAATCAAATCAAAAATATGATAATTTTTTTTGAGAAATATTATAATATATGTGTATATTTATTTATATCACAGGTGTACAAGTTGTCAAAACTTTCAACTCGATTGATATGAATAGGGAAAAAAAGAATTCGAAAATAAAAGTGAATAGTGATTAGTTAGTATTGTTTTTAGTTTTGAATCAAATGACAAGATAGGGAAGAAGAAAAAGAAGACAGTGTGTATCACGCTACACTTATCTTTCTATCTATCTAGTAGTGTTTATGCATTGATGTGTTTGTTACTGGTGCTTCTTAAAAATGAACAAAAAAAAGCATATGCACATAGAATAAGGAGAGTTAATAATAATAATAATCATGTTCAATAATGTATACGACTACTACTAATCATCACATCATACAGTGCAAGAATGGAAATTTACAAAAACAGGCACAAACAAAACAAAAATAAGTGCGAAAATGTATAGACGTATTAGTCCAACAATAACAAATACAAACAACAACACCAACAACAACACCAACCGGCAGCAGATGATGGTAACGTGTTATTTGTTTATTTTTTGTCTTGTTGTTGTATTTATTACAGAAAACATAGAAAATGTCACTTTTTTGCTAATGAAAAAATGGCTGTTTCATACTATTACTATTTTCTATCCGTTTAGTCGACTTTCACAACTCCGTAGATTTTTCGAACAAACCAGAAACAGGCGTAGAAACCAATACAACCTGATTGAAAATAATAAAAAGTGAAAATGTTATGAGAAGAAAAAATAAACTGTTGTAAAACATTATGCCAAAATTCAGTAACTAGATATGGTGACAATTTGTCACAGATCTAATTTTAAGGCAACAAGATCAGTAAATCAAAAACAAGTATGCCTATTCCCTTTGTTAAACTCTCATTAATCTTAAATAATTACAGATTGCAATGTCCTCCATCTTAAGATAAAGGATGCGAGATTGTGCAAACTAGAATAATCAGAGTAAACGGAGTAAAAAATGAGTGACCTAATGCTTAAAACACTCAACTGTTTCAAACATTAAACGGTTATGTTCACATAATTATTTCAATTGACAGCCAACTGTATCAGACGGGAATGCAGGATAAAACAAGTAACTCGGTGACAAGGCTCAACTCTTGTGCATATTCACAGTCCCCATTTTATATCCAACACTTGCCTATCCCTCGTGGAGCACACAACGCCAACCAGGCATCCAACTCTGTCTACCACACACAGTACGGTGATTCATCGAAAAACAATGCAATCAATGAGTTGGAAACATATGGAATAAAAGATAACCGAGAAATTACTAATTTTATTATTATTATTATTATTATCACGAGAAACAAGTTGACTAGATGATAACTAACAAAGAAATTGAAGAGTAGATCATGATGACCAACTAAAGTAGTTTGAGCTAAGTTCATAAGAGCAGTACTTTTTACAGACGGCTAAATCGTCGAACTCGAAGCTGTACACAGAAATGATAATAAAAGTCGTTGAAGTTGCCTTAATTAACGGGGTTGAGGAAGGGAGGTTTATTCATAAATTGAAATTTTATTTTACAAAAGGATGAACTTTTGAAGTTGCTTTATGAATCATCAATATACACTAAATACCATGAGATAAGGATTTTCCCTAGCAACTGTAGATTCAGTTAACACGTTAAGTCCAAGCAAAATGAAACCAGGAAACGATTTGAATTTTTTTTTTAAAATTGTTATTTGATAAGAATTATCCATCATATGATAATATCAATTTGCTTACTGGTGAATAAAAAGTTAAGCCATAAGATAATGGCTGTATAACCAAAATAGAGGAATGCTGAGACTGCATCTTGAAATTCTAAACGTGTCACAAAATAATGAATGGAATAAACAAGTAAATAGAATGATGTTCCAGCTCCTGTGTACAATGAACGCCACCACCAACGATAATCCTACAATGGAATACAATAACAACAACAACAAATGTCAACTATAGTCATATGTTCAATGATGTCCTAAAATGAAAAAGAAAATCATTGGTGTACACTCAAGTGATAAAACAGGTCGATTCTGACATGGTACAATGGACAAGAGGTGAGTGATATTACAAAAGTGATTTCTTTCAGTCACCTGTGACAACTGGTCATTAATGATATTTCACGTCATGCAAAAACTTATTCATATGACAAGTGGTTACATATTGGATCTCAGATTGTTCGGAGATTTACATAGATCACTTAGTTACTCGGCCACATCATACCATATTATCAATCAATGCATGACATATACCTAATAGGTCAGAATTTTTTTCTTTTAACAATCGAAGATTTGTCCTTCTCTTCAGTGCCATTAAGATTCGAATTTAATACAAGTAAGGTGAAAAAAAACTAAAAAGTCTCAGTATTTGAATAAATGAAAACATCAATCAGTGATAACGTTTATTGGACAAGTCGGTTTATTTGTAATACGAAAACACCAGAAAAGCTTTCGTCAAATAATGAACAGTAAGAAAAAAATTTAGGGTGAAAAAACGAAATGATAATATATTGTTAAGTGGAAGCGACAAAATTCTGTTACTGGAAAACGAGCATAAGAAGGCATACTAAACTGATTCTGTTTAGCAGATAGTTTGAAAGAATTCAAAAGTAGAACTATAGACAATAACATTATAATTCAATGAATGCGCTTGTCTACTTTTCATAATTTAGTGTCTTTTATGTGGTTTGTACAATGTTTGCAGTTTAAACACAATCAATATTATGGATACTACTCATACTCATACGGTGAAAATTACCAGATGCACTACATGCTTTTAGAACAAGTTTTTCAGTTCAAAATGATACTTCCTGTCAAATCCATTTTCTACTCCTTAAATAAAACTGGTAGTAGGTTGGAATGCTTCTGAGACCAATAATTCGTTAGACCAGCATGAGAGCTCGCCATTAATAATTCTCTATAGATTGGTAACTATTGTGTATCAATCTCATAGATGGTTTAACTGACATGCGTCATCTTGAAGATACGGTGATAAGTGAATTGGAGCAGACTTTCGTTAGTAAACGAATATCTCGACTATGCTATATATGACGCAAGTTGGCTAAAGCCAGTCAAACCTTATTTATCTGTGACGAGATTTTGTCAGACACCAGGCTGTCAGCACTGATGAGACTCCCCAAATAAGTGAAGCAGTCAACACGCTCAACTACTTCACTTCCTTTCACTTGTTCAGGTGCCAATGCAATACAACCTTGGAGCGACATTTTGCATTTCGAGGGGGAGAATCATATCCCGAACATCCTTTCTTACAGACTGGCATAATCTGTAATTGAGACTAGTCATATGGGATTACGTCCAGTTCCCAGTTTCTAGCTTAGATCTCAGTCAACTGAACTGCTAAAACTAAACCACCATCCTTAAAAATGTCAAGTCCCGTTACTCTACCTTGCCTTTTCAATCTCATTGAGAGTTCAAGAACTTACCTAAGCTTGGCTACTCAGTAGCGACTCGAATACCAGGCGTAACTAACTTGCATAAATTTCACGGTTTACTGTGAAATTTATGTTGTCGAATATAAATCCTAATGCACTAAAACAATGATAGTTCTGGTATATATTCACTCCGTCACTACGTGAATTATACAAAAAAACTATCATAAGAACATTCAATGTACAAGTCTGAGTCACACAGCGACACATTATACTGCTCACAATAAGCTGTGAAAAGAACTCAGAAACTACTTCAGAATGTGATATTTTACAAGGCTTAGGTTGTCTTGCATTCGTGTCTACTGAATCGAACTGTCTATAAAGAGAAATAATCCACTAAAAATCGAATCGAATCATCAGCCAATCACTGGACGATGGACATTATTGCCCTCTATATTACAGCTTGTGCAAAAATTCCTCACTGCATTGCATATTGTTAAAAACAATCACCAATACCAAGATAAATGCAGCTTGGTTATCTCATGCGTGTGTGTACTAGCTGTGTTGTTAAACATTACTGGGAAGAGGAGATCAATCATATTGAGACAAACGAAATGAATGGTAAACCAATGAATGATTCAATATGGTTGCGTGCTGAATTCATAGACTGAAGCAACTACTACTACAAGCCAGCATAACCCAGTAAAATAGCATAGTGGAAAAAATAAACAAGAATTCTTCATAGTTCATATTATTTCTGTAAATATTCCCTTAAAAAAAGAAAATATTCAATAAATATTGAAGGACAGATTAAACATGATACCCACCTCTCCACATAATTGAAAATAACACATCAGTATAGATGTCTCAGAGATTGTAATGACTAGCATAATGAAAACTAAGAATAGAAAACCGAACATATAATAAAATTGTGCTCCCCATATACTATTGAATATAAAGAATAATTGAATGAATATACAACTGAATGGTAATAATCCACCAATGAAAAGTGCCATCAATGGTCTACTGTATAAACTTTGATAAGGTATTTGTCGTGGTATTTGATTCGTACGAACTGGGGTTTCAAATACCTAGAAATTAAAAATTTCATGAAAAAGACCATTTCAATGTTTTTTTTTTGTTAAAAAGTACACAAAGTGTATTCAAATAAACTTTGGAATTTGCAAACTATTATTCTTTACAAAACCAATTCAGTTCTGTAAAACGTTGGACTTGAAATAAATACTAAATTTTGTTATCTGTTCACGAAACTTTGAATACTAGGAATGTTTTACTATTTTCATCAATAGTTTACACCAGGTAATACAATCTTGACTATACCACCGATAAAGATGTTTAACATCAGTTTCGTCGGAATATTGGACTCCTCTTTATCTCTCATTCACTCTATCTGTCCATGCGAAGACTGAAACCATGATCTTTGGCCTCACCGATTAACCCCAGCTCAGTTGTCTAATTGGCCAAGCGTTCACAAGCGAGACTAAAGGTCTTCTTACATTCGACTCTGTGGTTCAAATTATGAAAATTATACCCTCTCCACAAACCTCCACCCCTATACTATTTTTCTTTCAGTTGAATTGACCCACTTACTAGGTACAAATAGTTGATCTAATTTACTTTGCACAACATTTCAATTGTCAGACACCAGTTGTTTAAGCCAGATTGAAGTTTACACAGCCAGCTGATTTACTACCGGGAAGTTGAAAGCCGTAGTCACTGAACCACCATTCTTTAAGTTAAAATATAAGCACATTTGATTTTCAATAGTATAATTGAATTTCGGGAAAAAAAACTGTCCAAAGTTGCAAATCATTGACATTGTCATTGATTGGCAACTTAAAACAGAAGACTGACCACAATTTGGGTAGAATAGTAACGACAAGAAATACCAACCATTTACATACAATAAATATCATGTCTATTCGACAAAGTTGGCAGTTAGCTGAACCTAGTAGCTAAGCATATAACGTGTTAACATTCGAAGCAACAAGTACCAGGTTCGGTTCTCGGATGGGACACAGGTATGTTTATCCGATCACTCTCCAAACAGTGCGACGACACTCCAGTCTAGGACTAAATTTCTGGACGCAATCAAAACCACACTGAAGCCTAGCGAGAAGACTTCACTCTCTCTAGTCTCTGAGAAGTTTGTTTAGTGATTACATTAACAAATTATCAAACTACTAAACACTCACTGGTTTTCTGAAACCGAAGAATGCTCCAAGGAAACACAATGGTAGACTGACGCAAAGCCATAATGCTAAAAGTGCTACTATGGTGCCGAATGGAGTAGCAGTTGCACTATCCAGAATCCAAAGTGCAAAATCCAAAATGAGAAACATAGAAAAGACTAAAGCAGGACAAAGTGTCGCAGTTAATATCACATTAGTTTTCCAACGTAAACCGCCGAAAAATTTGTAGATTCGTGCTGAGGCATAACCTTTAGGTAAAGTAAAAACATACAAACTTTGGTATGTGTATTTATAAAGTTAGTAAGTTAGTATTGCACTGAAAATAAATCCAATAACAACAATTACACCAGTTGTCAGCTATTTTATGAAATACGATTAATCAAGCATAATTGAACAAAGCCTCGATTTTTTGGTAGAAATTAAGAAGAACTCAAGAAGTTCACGAAATATTGTAGAATTTCATTGTTCCGCTTGTACAACTATGTCTTGAAACAGTTCAGTAGAACAACTTGCAATCAGTGATACAAAACTCAATTATGGGACAAAATCATGATTGCGATGTTTTTTGTAAGATACTTTCATTTTTAATTTTAATAGGTTAAATATTCAGTGTAATACTTGTTTGATTTTCAGTGTGTTATTTTGCCCAGTATAAAACTGATTTACTGCAGTATAATTTGTATTGTGGAATTCATAGCTTCAGTATTTTTAGCAACTTTTTGTATTTACCTTATGCGTAACTATTGCTAACTAATCGCCAAGTATCAATTTGTAAAGGTGTATTAAAATATCCTTTTGATTTATTTCTGAGATCAAATAAATTCATGTCAGTGGCCTTCGTGTTGTCATTACGCTTCGCTGGATTCTGCGTTTTCAGGACCAAGCAAAAGTTAGATTGCCATTTGGTAGATTTAGCAGTGACAGTTAGCAACAAATATATCCGTTAACTAAGTACATGACTTGTGAAACTGGATTTGTGACAGCTAATGATAGGTCTAAGTGGTTGATAGAACTGAATTAAGAACGGTAAGTTTCCATCGCCCTACACAAAAACCAAACACCTTACACACACACAAAGTAACTGATAATTCAAGATTTCTTATTGAAACAATGAATACTTGAGAATATATTAGATATAATTTTACCTGCAGAAGCTCCTAAACAAGCGAATAAAGCCAAAGCACAAGTCAACAATGCACCACGATTGGCTGCACTCAAAAATCCAAGACATGCAAAGAATAAAGTGACCAATAACATCTGAAAGATTTGAACTCCTGAACCAACTAAGACTGAGAAAAGCATGCACCAATTAGGCGGACGAAATACATCGCCATGAACCAATTTCCAACCAGATTCCTCTTGAACAGCAGTCTAAACAATGTAGAAAATATAGCATGAGATAGTTGATGGAAAGAAAAAGAGTAAACTTGCAAATACGATGAGAGAAAAACACCACTTACAGCACTTTCAAGTTCTGTGTAACGAGCAATATCACGACGTAGTGTACGTAACATAATGGTTGCGAGAAGACCGGAAAGGAATAATGTTAGTACACATGAATTCAAAATAGATAACCACTGAATATTACTTTGAGGCATTGTGTCTAAAATATAGTCCCAACGAGATGACCATTTGCGTGTTAGATCTTCCTATAGTTTAAAAGAAATCAACAATGAAACAGTTAGGTTTAATGAGGTGATAATTTTCGTAATAGACGTTCCATTAACTGGAGAATAACTGATAACTACAAAGCGATAAACAATTCTCCAATTTTAGTACAGGATTAATCAGTAGTAAGTACATAACCAGGACACTCAATTCTCACGGGTATTACTTTTAGAATGACAAACTTGAACCCAATAGGGAAAAACATGAAAGAATGACTTCGATCCTGAAAGACATTATTTATCATGCTGATAAATCACAAACAACAACATACTGTAACATTACTATAGTCAAATTAAAACAAATGTCTCAAAAACACTGAATTAAACATGTCCATATATCTTCAAAATAGAACTAGTGAAAACTAAACGATTTAAGATGATTATTACTAGATATAATGTATCCGAAAAAAAACAGATATCATTTATTAGTTGGCGAAATCATGTTACACAGAATACACTTTCATAAATGATGTATACACTTGCTCTACTAACAGTATAAAACTTAACTATGTACTCAGTTTATGGAAATGTAGAAATGACATGATTTAATGTTTTATGAAATATATTAAAACAAAATTTGAAATCTCTCACAACAATCAATATTCAATGAACAAAAAAAAGAATCTATCGCACTATACAGTGATTTTTTCATTTTGATTTTAACCATTTTGTAGTGTTGTGCTTTTAGCATCTTTCCATCAAATGTAACTTAATTTACAATGTACAGGTATTAGTTTTTTATATAGCTTTGAGTTGTACAATTTTTTGTACAGTTTATTACAAGTAACACTGAAAACATGTGGCCCTGTAACTGGAAGTCAATCGAGATCATGATCAATTCACTTACTTCAAATGTTACGCTATATGTGTAAGTTATTTTAAGTTCATCCTTCAAATCAGACGGCAGTAATAATGGTTGTTTTGATGTACAATCCGGTGCATTTTTTGGATGCGCAATGCTATGAAATGGATGAATAAAACAAGGAAGTGTGATTATGAATAGAACAAAACAGTAAATTTTATAACAATATCCATTGATATTCATTTCCAGAATGAAGATATGAACAAAAGCTTAGAAGTGTACAAATATATATAGGCTTCACTAGCTTTGAAACTGAAACTTGATCAATAGAAAACAGTTTTGACAAACTAAGATTTAATTTAATTAATGCGACATTCAATTTATTCGCAAGTAACTTTGCATAAAGTGTTCCTTTCTTGGTATTTCACAACACGAATAATAAGTCATGTTTAGACTACTTGAAATAGCATTAAGAGAAAAAATTAAGTGGGTTGGTTGTGATGCACAACTTGCGCAAATAAAATGCCTCATTCTAGTAGTGTACAGATTATATTTGATGACAATTGAGTGGTTGGCCACAAAATGCAAAACAGTCAGGTCAATCAACTTTGGATACCTCAAATATTGTCTAGTTGTTAAAACAAAATAAGGCATTTATTTAGACTAAAATCAGGATTTTCGTTTTTATACAAATATAACTGCTCAACAAAATGTGGGGTTTTATTTGACATATGAACTTCTGTTCATGATGATTTTCAACTTGTCTACAACAAGTTTGGTGATGACCAACAGTACGAAGTAATATTCGTCAAACTAGCTTAATTAAAGCATACAAGCCCCCGAAAATCTCAAATTATCTTAGTGGTGGAATATAGTGTAGTATAGTAAGAAGGATCGCCCATTTGTCAGAAAAAAATGGTTCCAAAGATATCATCATTCATGAAAGGTTTGTTGCTGTTGACGCTTCAAGTGACAAAATATTGTGCGAAGAATGAAGAGAAATTCATGGGACACAATTTGATGCTACATAAACAATATAACCTGGTTAGGTTGGAATAAAAAGAAATGCAAAACCATTCAGCGATAGATGTAATGTAACCATCTTTTCGTAGTTAAGCTTTTGCACATAAAACAACAAATAGACGACTTTGACAAGTGGGACACACAGTGATAAAAGAACTACGATCACGACTAATGCCACATCCTAATCTAGAGACCAAATAAATTTTCCAAAGTTTTTTAACCTCATAAAATAAAAAAGGCAATATAAATAAGCAGCTTTCTATCTCACCTACTAGGGCTGGCAATCACTGACAAAATACGTCCAGCTTTAACGTTCCCTGTATTACTCCATGAATCTTTGACTGGATGATAGACAATGTGCAGATCGACATGGTTTAACAAGATTGTTGATTGTTTGGGTAAAGGCTATAAAAATACATCATAAATATACATCATTTTATAAGCACTAACTAATAAAAGAGAGTTAAATTGCATTCAATACATAATACCTTGAGATGAAAGAGGATATTAGACCTTACCAACTGAAATAGCTGTGAGAAATGGCATTGGTAAATCACTTTCAAATTTCAATGATACCATGTAAAAACAATCAAACTATTATCATCAATCTAATCAAGGTAACTAATATAAATGTGCATCCGTACGAGTTGACACACTTTAAACCACCACAATGAAAGGAAACTAACAGAAGGAAAAGGCAAAGAACTAAAAATAACAATACCAAAATCGGGTAGAAAAAATAAGTTGATGCTTAACAATTGGAAAACAACGAATAACTTCTTCAAATTTTTAGTCATCAAGTACTTCTATTTAGCGGATATCAACTTGGAAACCAATGCTCACTTACATAGTTCAGCAGGAGTGACAGTGACTTTAAGAACTGATGCAGCTATAAACCTAACGACAAGTAGTAGTTACGCACTTGTAACAAAGTAAACGTTTACCCATTAGATATCCAGTTATTCCAATATCATTATTAACACTGTGGTGAACGACAACTGCACCTTAAGGATGGATAAATCTAATCCAACAAATATTTGGCGCCTCATTTAACAAGTTTAAGATTTCTTAACCAAATCTTGACATCTTACCATCGCATATTATCCTTAGACACATTTGATTTCTCACTGATAATATTGTGAGACAGAAATGTACACTATTTAGAGAAGCTCTGAATCCTTATTGAGTATTAGGAAGTAAGATTAATATACACTTATTGATTAGATCATTAGAAGACGAATCCACATCAAAAGTTCAAATCTTACACAACAACTAGAACACACATAACTAGAACAATAACTTACCATTCCTAAGCATACAGAATCTGATTTATCCTGATTACCTTCAAAGCATCCAAGTGGAATAGAAGTTTTGCAGTACTTTTTCCCACCTACAGCTAGTACACAAACTGTAACTGGTAAGTTGTCCATAACCCTGAAACGAAAACATAGATACTGTTGCATATGCATACAAAATGTGATATCAAGTAATGATTAAGCAGATAGATATACATTAATAAATGCCAATACTAATCTTTTCGAATCAAAAATTAGCGTTTATTATTGGCCGAAAAAATTGAGAATCATAAGCACAACACATTTGTTCAATAATATTCATAAATTTAGGCCATACCATTTTGACTAAACTAAACTACATTCTGATAAACAGTAGGAAATTGTAGTGACCGATTGTTGCCTGTTTACTAGCTCGTATAAACGAGAGATTACATGACTAATATAAGCTTATTTATATTTGTTTTGTCCTTTACATAAGCCAATACGCAGATGACTTTTGAGCAAACGACATACGACAAAGACGGAAGACTGGACAACTCTATGGCCAAATACTAAGACGACCCAATCGAAGAGGAAAAGCAAAAACCATTGACCACCATTCCAGGATTCGTTGCCATATTTCGAACATTCCTTTATCTATGCACCACACCGCACCAACAAATGAATATTAGCAACTATACATAAACAAGTCAAAAATGACTGTGAGTGCGGGAAGACTGTGAACAATAAACTAGCAACAGATTAAGAATAATACATCATACAACTATAGTTAATGAGTTATTTACTCAAGAGCTCAGAATACAGGCCACATATATTGATAATAATCTAGCAGCTCAAGTATAGGTGTGTATGCTTAGCTTTAAGTCACAGTTTATGTGAAGGTTAGTAACACGTGTAATTTCGCAGTGACACTAGTGCAGAATACAAATGCTTAGATAGCTTACCAATGATGCTCATAACCCATCATAATAGCCTTAGTAATGAAAAGATATTTCTTGTAGTTATCCTGTGAGTACGTTTTCGAGCAGAGAACTTTACATGTCTCTTCTTTGCCAAATATAATCTAAAATGTCAGAAGAAAAGTTCAAAATTGCTAACATCAAAAACCGAGAAAAAAACAAGCGATTTTGAGTTTCCATCATTTTATCATACTCTAGTATCAGCTAAGTGGATTTTCACTAACCATTACGAGGATATGTGGCTCGATAACCAAAGTACGCATGTAGTACTGCATATACTAAACAAAATATTCAATATGAGCTATTTTAAATCTGACAGCCGATGTGTGAGATCTAACACTTTAGAGGTGAAAGACAATCGATGCTTTCAAGTGCGAATTATTTTCAGTCTTTCTTAAAAGGATATGATAGCTAGCGACACTTTAACTTACACATTTGAAATCAAGAATCGATCTAAGTTAGACGACCATTAGAAACCTGGAAGCACTGCGTTTCGTCGTGGTATGGGATTCATCAGCAGTGCGCATCCACGACTCCTGCACCTCGCAGGACTCGAACCCACGACCTCTGGTCTTGCGTGCGAACGCCCAACCCCTGGACAACTGAGCCCGCATCTAACGGTGTTAATTTCTAACTTCGATCAATTTATGAACTTTAGCTACTAATTGAGTTCGAAATGAAATGCTCCTTTCTCCACTAAAACGTACTTTTTGTTAGCACACAGGAATTTACTGCAATAATTCCAATGAGAATAATTTCGGTAAGGTTTGTTTCCGATGCCTTATGAAAGGTATTTAAAACTAACGAGTTGCTAATGTAAGTAATACAAGTGTTAAGTGTGCCCTGTTATTGATAAAATATAGATCACCGGAGAAGTTGGTTAACGCTGATAAATATATTATTCCCTCTCTAGTACTCTTCAACCGATCAGGATACACACAAGCCAAAATGTTAAGTCTGTCCTTCAAACTTCTTGTTTAAAGGGATTGTAATATCTGTACCTAGGTAATACTTGCACTCCATAGGCCAGTCTGCGTCTCCGAACTGTTTATCTTAACAACAGAGACAAGGTTTTGTTGCTTGTGGACACTGGGTTTGACTTTAAAGATGTACATGACTTGATGCCAAAGGTATCTAGATGGGATAATGAGAGCGAAGGTGGTTCTCCTTACTAGAGATGCAAATTTCTTTCAGATGGTTAGCGTATCGAAACAAAAATGCTTTTGTAGATAACAGTAGTTGGTTTCGAAAAATTCGACCAGATGTCTATCTGGGATAGTTGCTGCGAGCGTGTTATACATGATAATGTTGATCCTTTTACGTATAAGACTTATAGAAAGAGACCGGAGTTGGTACCTGTTTGCAGATAAATGTAGTTAATTAACAATGTAATATACTCCCACAGGATGTCAGTCTACTTTGAAGCTGATTAATATGGAAAATGACCCCAGATAAGATGATTACAACTTATGCCAGAGGCTATTATGTTTCTTCTAGGACTAGATGTGCCGATTAGATAGATAGTTATAATTTTTATATATAAGCCTGAAACATGTTGGACAACTATGCTTCTAAAACGACAGAAATGCATATATTGTTACATCGTACTAACAGAAAGCAGTAGCTGATTCGCTAAGAGTTTGTTCTAGTATATTTACTTGAGGAATTTCTATGAAGTACTATTTGTTCGTACCCTTACATCGATGACATATAGAAATCCACTATCAGTAATTTTGTAGTATTTTTCGTTCTTAACATCTGTGCCGTAATAGTCAGAACAGCGAAGCAACATTTTTTTCTTTCTACATTCTGCTCAAAACTGACAATGGAACTGACTTATTTTCACAACTACTGCACTTCAAGCATGGTGTGTCAGGATGACTCGTAATTGGATCGATTAATGAATGGTTGCGAAGAACTCACACATCTAACGTGTTATTAGCGCAAGTTAAAATTGGAATCAAGAACAGTGTATCGAAAAAATGGAATGTGGCATAAATTGCATGCATCACCATGGAAATATTATTACCCGATAACTGGATGGTAACAGACGTTCTCCAAAGACCACCTGTCCGAGATTTTCAACAGGATATGGTTCTGAAGATAAACTGCAGAAGTCAAATCTAAAATTGAAGCGTAATAAAAAGTAAAATCAGGACCCCGGCTAGAAATATAACGGGGAAAATTAGGAAACAAAAGTCTCAGATGACTAGTGATCAGATTCCTAAATTACATATGCTTAAACAAAGCTAGGCTTTAAAAGTTTACTGATTATATCTGAAAAAACATCCTATCCAAACTTTCCAACATACCGTAGTTATTGATAAGCACGCAGAATAGTTTAAATTTTTCGAAGCATGTCATTTGAATAAGCGTATGTGTACTAACATGAGGAATTATTTTTAAAACATTTTATCCACTACCTGAAAGCACCGCATTTGGCCACTGCTTACTAGAGCAATCTTATAATCGCTTACACTTATCTAAAAATCGTGGTATATTGAAAATGCAAGTGGTCCTTTACACATGACTTACAAAACGGTTCACTGTGAATATTATCGAAGAACTTGATTTAAGGAAAAGAGGCATTTTTCCATTGAACGCCTGCTTATTTTATAGATGAAAGCTCGGAAATAAGGATTTATCCTGAGAAGCAAATCAATTCTGAACTAGTCACATAAACACTGATGCATATTCAACAAACAAGTATTGCTGTTGATCGAATATCAAGACAGTCGAAAAGAAATGAATGAACAGGCATAAGATACGGGATGGATTTTGTAGCTAAGATGGTGTTTGAGCTGTTAAATTCTCAAATACAACACTTAAAAAACCGACTTTATGATCCATGTTTAAATTAAATTCTATTCATTTGGGTTTCAGAATGTTTTCATCTGTCACAATTTACCCAGTCCGATAACGACCATATTATTCGTAATAGGTTAAGACAAATGTTTATGATTATGGCCGAAGCTAATTCCGAAATTCAATAACTTTTTCACGAGCTAGCATAAACCAACTGACTTCTTTGCGCTCGATTCTTGTTCTTTCGGTACGGTTCCAGGTGTTTATTAGTAATTAAACTAGCGTAAGGAAAATTCTTTTTCTAGTCATTTTTAAGCCTTGGAGGTTTAAATACTGATATAAAAACCAACTTAAAGACAAACTACGGCTGCATTTAGGTTGAATACAAAAATATTGATGAGTGCTAGTGGAAATGACAAAAAGATAAAAGTAAAACAACCTGTGATAAAAAACTCACGAGTCATAGCGGAAGGAGATGAACGACTTTTTCGAAGTCAACTTATTAACGAATAAAGTAATATCACTCTAAAAACTAATAAGATCGTGTTGATACGCTGTACCTTGCAACTACTTCCACTATCCAACTGTGGTGGGCAATAATTGATCGGCGATATCCCCGGCAGATACCATGCCTTTATTAGGGACAAGTGGATAGTTAACAACCAGACCAAAATAAATGCTCTTATCATCATACGTGTCAACAACCAAACGACTTCCCGCGAACTAAGATGAGCGGACGAAACTCAATCAATGTTCAAATTCTTGAACATTTTAGGACATTGCATTTCGAGGTTTCAAGCTTTTCATGCGAACTTAAAGTGACAGCTTCATTAAATCTTCCTAAGGATAGTGTGATATATTTCTTCTGTATGAAAAAAACATCATCTTTGTAGTAACCCAACAGGAACATAAAAAACTCAGTCTCAGGTAAGGCACTTAAAACGGCCTCTCGCAATCTTATTGTTCAAAGCGTATATTTCCGGCTTAGCTAAATGGAATAACTGGAAATTCTTATCAGCATTTTGTCTTAAATTTCATTCTTCATCTGCTAGTCCCCTCAGATTTCATATACACCACTCCATACTTTAAAGTACAGATGAAAAACAAAGCTTAAGTGATAACTAAAGCCTCCCACAACATTGTTTTCAGTCTGAGACATTCAGTATTGTTTTGCGCCAGACCTTTGCAGTAGCCTGATAAGAAAATGTGTATTTTCATCTAAAACATGTATCACAAACTTTTTTATATCTCCTCTCATGACAGTTCCTAGAGAACATTATCCTTCAACCAGTAGCAGTACTATGCGTCAAAAATGTAAGAACCGAGTTGTATGGATCAGTTACAGGTTTAAAACAACAAACACTTGTGAGTAGGTAATCCTGAAAAGATTTATCAGACTCTCAACGGCCAATGAAGCTTCTTAGAACAACCCAGTGCTGTATATTCTGCGGCTGCCTCGTGGTTGACACTCAGCTCACGTTTCATAGACAAACTTATTCAACGTCTCTGTCGTTTTAATAAACAGGATAACTTTTTAGTGAGTGCTGTTCTTTCTAGCTCACAGGGCTCAACTTAGCTTATAAATAAATTAGTTAGCACACTGGCCTTTTGTCCTCGTCAGTCATTCGCTCATATCTGCATTGCTTTTATTCGTGTGTGTGCCCACCTATTTCGCTTATGCATGTCTGGCTTATTTGTGTCTGACTGAGTTCTTAGTCATGCTTCAAATCGAGTTGACTTTCTCACCTTTTCCACGTCACTCCTCTTCGCTTCGCTTTACTTATATGCTTCTCTCCTTCATGTTCGCATGAACGATTGTTTGAAATAAACTCATCCAACCGAATCCGTATTTGGCTTTTTATTACCGAAGTCGCGTAAATGGGGGTCGCCTAAGTACATATTTGGAAACTAATGGGTAGACTGATTTCATAGCATACCAGAATTCATTTCTCCACTATGAATAGAGGCTGTTAAGTACAGAGCAAATGTTTCCAATACCTAAAATCTTTGTGTAAAATCTAGTATAAATAAAGTAAATTCCTTACACTTACGTCTTCGTGTTTCATTACGGTCCCATTTACTTGATAATGTCCAACTGATGGCAATCTAGCTACTCAGTTACACCAGTTTCAGTCATTTTCTAGTTGCCAATGAATCTTGATGTATTGTAATTGGAGTGCGTTTGATTCAGAGAAACAGAGATTCTAGAATCAAGCAACTACCACATTACCAAACAACAGTTTTGTTGTTTTTAATGCAAAAAGCATTCAATAGAAAACTCTAATGCTAACAATAAATGATAACTTAATGAATAAACAGATAAACTAATCGACCAGTGATGAAGATGGTGTGAGAATACCGAAATGTTGGAGTAAAAGAGGAAGCAAAGGTGATGGTAGGCGAGATAAGTAAATACGTAATAGGCGCACTAGTCCAGGAGGAAGCTGGTAGTGCATGGATATATTTTTGCAGAATTTCCTCTTTAGACTGTATTGACTCTACTTTTAATAGAAACATTCATTAGTATGACATATTGTACCATTGATGTTTTTACAGTACTCTTTGTTTATCCATACTTTGTACACACACTTTCCGTTCGTATCGTTTCCATCTCTGTTACAATAAGCTCTGTAGTTTGGTCTGCATGTCTTGGCACGATCTTGGTATTCATTCTATATCACGAGACCGTCAACAAATATACGCTCATTTCTGGATCCGGTCTTCCCTGTTTTTGGTACATGGAGGGATTCTACTTAGCTGGCCAGTAGTGGTGTTCATAGTCAACTTCAACTCGCGCCATTACAAGGATAAAATCAGGGTCACTTCAGCTATAAGACTTTTCCACGTTTGAGAAACTCATAATGAGAAAAAGTTCATGGCTTTCATCTGATGTTGAGAGGTAGCCACCTTTCATTTGGACCATAATCTTAAGATAGAACTGAAAATACATGTTTCTGAGCCACCTTATTCCTTTTATTTTGCTAATTCGCCTCATTATATTGTGCTCCTCTACAGCTAAATTTGTTTTCGAGACTTGGCGCGGATAGTTGCCTTAAATGATCCTGTCAGTTCATTTGAAGTAATTATAATTAATTATGATAATTATTGTTAGAATTAAGTACAATAATAAATGTTGCCATTTTAGCAATTGTGTTATCTTCGTAAAAGTATGTCACTACATGATTTTCAAATGAATACTTCAAATCTGTCAGTTAAGTTGTGCTCGTTAATTTCACTAATTAAATTGTCGGAAGACTAGTTGAAACGGTTATTACAAGTGTCCTAGTGAAGTATGTAAAAGAAGCAGCTGGGCACGATACGGAATAAGGATCATTCCCTCTAGATCTCATATTGACCGATTATGATAATGACGTCTCTAATCTCGGTTATTTGTCACCCTAGGTAAGTGACCATTCACACTTTGCCTTTTACATCGTTGTCGGTAAGGGACTGTTAAGATTAAGAACAGACCAAACAGCAGCAGAGCAAATTTACGAGAAATCATACTATCAGTCGCCTCAGTAGAACTGACAATAGAATCAGAACACCTCACTGAATTGGCTATGCAGGTATTCAGAAATAAGTATATTCAGATTACTGCAACCTACATCCCTGGGTCTACACCCAGGAATCCAAGAAATCCCCTGGTGCAGCTCGGTAAGGAAGTTCGCAGTCTTCTGCGTAAAAGGAAAAGAATATAGGAAGAATTAACATTTGGCGCTGATGAGGCAGCGTACAAAAGTTATAAGGGGATAGTAGTACTGCATCATCGGTTGGAATACGATTATGAACAAGCTCACGTATTCCCAAACTAATTTAATGATAGGCTTCCTATGGTAATGTTTCTACCTCCAGTTCATTTAAACTCCTCTGTAAGAACTCTGACTGTTAAAGAACTCAATGTCATCAATCTGGTAAGTTTGAATCAGGTAAATCTATGGAACTCGGTGAAGTGAAGGTGGGATTCAATTCGTCCTACAGATCTACTTCTACAATTGTAAACGCAATATTGACGAGCACAGATTCTTTTGTAAAGTCATAGTGAAAACAAGGCCAATTTGGTTTTAAAGTTTTATCTGTTTCTAAACATAACAATTAGATTAGTACAATAAATAAGGAAATTACAGTTATCAAGTGAAACCAGTAAACATACCGACCGATTTAGCGCGTCTTATGGAAATGAATAAAACTGTGTGTCACATCAATATAATAAGATAATAATGTCCTTCAATTAGTAGGTCATTTACATCAAAGATAGTTTACGTGCACGTCAGACCAGTTCACGTGGAGAACGCTTAAACCACAATCTGATTGGTTAGTTATGGCACAGCTGTTATAGATTTTCTACTCTTGCAGTTCACTCCGGCTTGAAAAGTCTAGGTTCAAACGCATTTCATCCAGTCAGGGACCGAAAACACGATAATTCTTGGAGAAAACGGTTCTATTACATTAAATAGGGAAATACAGAAAATTACCAAAACGATGTTACACTTTCGAGCTTCCAATTACCACAACAGATTCCGTTTCTGGAAGAATAAGTGCTTCCAGTCCGTTACTGCTAGAGTATCAAATCCAAAATATGGCTGTAACCATATTAAATATCAATTTCAAACAACATATGTATAGTTCAGAAGGAAACATAAAAACTTCAATATAAGTACAAGATATAGAAATAATAACAATATACAATGCTAAAACCTCAAAATGGAATCAAATAAAGTACCAAAATATCAAACAGAAAGAGTCAGTCATATCATAACACAAATATATATACATGGAGGGGTTTTCCAAAAAACACTCAAAATAGATTCTACAACAACTACAAGTAGTTATGAAAATAACTCACAACCTGTACGTATGCTGGTAACGAATTGAGCCGCAATTCTTTGACCATATAGGAGTCAGCTGCTGTCTGTGCTGCCAGGGGTTGCAGGCGCGTGAGGTGGTGGGTCATTTACATCAAAGGTAGTTTACGTACACGTCAGACCAGAGCACGTGGTGAATGTTTAAAATACAATCTGACTGGTTAGTTTTAGTTTAACTACAATTAGTTATATAAATAAATAACAATGAATTCAAGATTACTCAATGAAATAGCGAATGACATCGCAACTGTTTTAAAACATATATTTTAATCCATCAGTAACTCAAGGTATATTATCAAGTGATTTAGTCCTGTTGTCAAAACAAGTACGAGACAAAAAACCTGAGAACCATAAACCCCTAAGCTTGGCCAGCATCGTTTAGAAAAATTGGGAATGGTTATTCGTAAGGAGCTGTTCAAGTACCTAGAAAAAAGCTGATTGTTTCTTAGGAACAGCTCGAATTCAGAATAGGTTGTTATGTCCCGGAAAAACAGTGGTGGCAGTTTAGTGTTTCAAAATGATTCACAAAAATTGCCTAAAATGTATAGAATTCAATCAAGCTGATAAATACTTCCAAGTGCATCAGGATGAATACTGATCAGTAAGGTATGATAAATGTCCGGTCAATAACACTGGCTACTTGTTATCCAGATACGTGGTGACCCGAGATTGTGAACCAGAGACGTGTGTGGGTTGTATGGATGTTCACGGGTCAACTCGATTCTGACGAGATTGGTGTAGCTTTCTAACAAACATTGAAGTCAAACGTCCTGCGGAGATATCATTACATTAGACTTCAGAACTACTGCGCGATACCGTGCATAGCCACTATGGTCTGCACGCAAAGACTTTAGCCGTGTTGACATGAAAACATTTCTGAAATTTTATATAAGATTCCCGTGTCCCAAACTTGAGTATTAATTATAAGCAGTAAGCAGCATAGAACGCTTGGAGGTGGCAAAATCACATTTTTTTTGAAAAACTTGCCTATGACCTATGATGGAGAATAATCGGCTTACCACCATTTGCCAAATAAATCTGTCCTTGGCCTTCCTTTCCAGTTCTACTCACTCAACGTTCATTCTTTTCATTTTCTCTTCTTTATGAAGGCAAATTAGGCATTAAATGAGATGCAGTTGGATGCCTTTCTTGAAGTGTGTCCTACCAACCTCCGGCGCTTTTTCCTAATTGGTTCTTCAGCTGTAAGCTGGTCTGTTCTTTATCACAGTAGGTTGTTGCTGATGGTGTTTGGCCAACGGATCTGGAGTATTTTGCCTATATAACTGTTAATAAACACGCGTATCTTGTAGGTGATGGCCTTTGTAGCTCTGCAAGTTTCCACTATATGCAATAAACTACCTAAAAGTTTGTGTGGAAACTTCTGACTCTAATATCGTTGGTTGATAGCTGCTTTGAGTTGCAGATGGTCTTCAATCGTAGAAATGCTGTCCTCGCTTTTCTAATCCATGTCTTCCTATCAACATCAGATTGTCCTTGTTAACAAAAAATTCTGCACAGGTATGTGAAATTTTTCACATCTAATGCTTCTCCATCAAGTGTGATTTCAACAGAAAAAAGATACTACATTTGTAGGAGCATTCGGTGAACGCAACGTTACTCTTTGAATGATTCATGTGATTTTCTTGCTTCATGCTTGAATCGGAGTATTATGGATTAGTTTTCTCGTACTACAGCAGAGAAAACTATGACGATCGAACTTCATGTTCACAGAAGATTTCATATGCTTTCCGAAAGAATTTCATTTTAACAAACTTTCAGCACACACAGAAAACAGCAGATCTATATTCATTATCTGATAGGACCTCAATCCTAAATTTCCAGAACATAATCATATGCGATGGTAAGTTATACTTTGAAATTCTAATATTAACTGAATGCTATAACTCAAACACCTTCTTGAATAACGGGTTCATTTTGACTTCACTAAGTTAGAGAAAGCATTATCTCTTCAAACTACAGAAATTATTTTTACTGAAACACCTTCATGTCCGCATTCGTGAAAACCATAAATTAGTAACATTGTGACTTATTTTTTACGGTGTCGACCCCAGAAATTCCCATCATATTTTTAAAACTTTTACTCCGTCACATTTAGATTATGTAAATATAGCGCATCCTCACTCATTCCAAAAGGATATGAATAAAATGATTAGTTGTGAACTCAGTTTGAGCACTCAAATTCTAAACTCATGAACAGAGCTTAAAGCTATCCGTCTGAGAATTGGTGACCGAGGAGTTATCTTTAAATGGATTTAAATTTCCTAGTTGC